GTGTGTGTGTGTGTGTGTGTCTGTGTGTTCAAATTAGGATTGGGCGATGTTTGGAAAATCAAACATTACAACATTTTTGACCAAATATCTCAAAATTGCTATTTTAATGATAAGTGTTGACCACTGGTGCTTTCACTTTGTATTTACTATAATATCGTCTATAATATGAATTTATCGGATCTATGATCACGAGAATCAGAAAATGACATCACTTCACTGTTTTCAGCTTTTATCACCAGCAGAAGTCGACACTCATCGTCTGCTCTGGTGTGCTGATGTTATATCCACACACCATCAGGCCCTGTTTGAAACCTGACACGTTGATGCTGGAACTTGAGGTCTGAGGGTCAAAGGGAACCATGCTGGATCACCTGGTGGTCTGTCTGCAGACCTTCGCCTGGATGTAGTGTGATGATGTCATGACTTTATGATGATGTCATGACGATGTTACCTTCCTGTGTGTTTCCTCTTCAGGACTACCTGCTTTGGAACCGTCTGGGTGCGACACTGGCGAATGGAGACCGCAGTGAGGAGGCCGTGGAGGCGTACACCAGAGCTCTGGAGCTGCAGCCTGGATTCATCCGGTCCAGATACAACCTGGGGATCAGCTGCATCAACCTGGGAGCTCACAGGTAACACCATCAGCTGTCCTACCTGTGACTCACACAAACGTGGGCTAAAACACCAGAGATACAGAACCAAACGGTCATAGTAGCGTTGGCTGTACCTACTTGATGTGACCCGTTGATGTGTTTGTTTGTAACTCTCGGTGATCACAGTGATTTCATGCTCTTTAAAATGAACGTATTCAGTGTGATTACAGTCCTGGTCTGACCTGGTTCTGGTCCTGCAGGGAGGCGGTCAGTAACTTCCTGACGGCTCTGAACCAGCAGAGGCGGAGTCAGCGCTGCAGCCACCAGCAGATGTCGGCGAACATCTGGGCCGCCCTGCGAATCGCCATCTCCCTGATGGACCGGCCCGAGCTGTTCCAGGCCGCCAACATCGGGGACCTGGACCTGCTGATGAGGGCCTTCGACGTGGGCGACGTCTGACGGTGACGGGGGCGGCCTGGTCGGACTGAAGGTTGTCTGTCGGGTCAGCTCAGAGGAAGTGTGAGTGTTGTCTCCTAGAAACAGAGGACCAAAGGGGGACATGGGCTGGATGTGGACAGTTTGGTATGAAACCAAAGAGACAATGACGTCCGCAGGAAAATCCTTCGCAATATAACAGCACAACCCTTTAGCTTTCTTTAAGAACACTGTCCTGTTGTCTTGGCGCCGATGACGTCATCAGCAAAGCGCGTCTGCACATCCTTCCGGTCCTTTAATGTTTAAACCGTCCAGAATACGAGTCTTCTACATGACCAGAATACGAGTCTTCTACATGACTACAACAAGCTCAGGTCCTGTTGGGCCCATAAATGGGCCCACCCTCAGATTCATTTGGTTGTCATTTTGGCTGTGGTCATGCTAGAAAGTTCATAAGTTGCACAGAGGCCACTTTACCAGGGTACAACATGCTCCTGGAAAATCTCCTGTCTACACCTTAAAATGAGCTGTATGCAACTTTGGGCCCTGTTCTCCTGTTATGGACAAAAATGGGCCCCATTGAAACCCATTATAAAATGCAAAAAACACACATTTTTACCTGGTGGTTATTTTTTCCCAGAAAGATGATTTATCTGTTTTCATGGCTTAATTCACAACAGGGGAAGTCAAAATATAGGTTTCTGAGCAATTTTGGAAAATTCATTCAGGAATACTATTGTAGCACCTTTGCAAAAAAAAGGGGTACTGACAGGCTGCTCCCCCCATGCAGCGCTGGACCCCACCTGGCCAGACACAAGAGGATGAAACTGGTCCTGTGTGCAAATCATTTGCTTAAATTCATGATTAGAGTAAAGTTCATATGTGCATTCAAATATACCAACAGCTAATTGTGAAGTTGTGTTGTCTGATTTTCACCAGCTTGCACATTTCATCAAAATTACCAAATTTCCTTTAATTTAGTCGAAAAATATTGCATTGCAATCAGTGGGCGCGCGTTCCCGCGGGGCGCGTTCAAGTGTGTGTGAGTGGGTACGTGTATGGGACATGTGCATGTGTGACTTGAAAGGAGTTGACATATTATCTTTATTTGCAAGCAGCAGCTGCAAAACTAAAACTTGTCACAGCAGCTCCAGAACCGGAGATCCAGCCCGGTTCTATCAGCGGACCCTCCCAGAGCGCTCGCGGGGAATGCTGCCTCGCTTCTCCGCTAAGATGCGGGAGGGAAACCGATGAAAATTTTAACGGCTTTTTTCAAAACTCTGATCCGAGCATTATCTTCATTTGCAAGCAGTAGTTGTAAAAATAAAACTAGGACGGTAGTTTCAGACGCAGAAATCCAGCCCGGTTCTTTCAGCAGGTGCTCCCACAGCGCTCGCCGACAATGAAGCCTCGCTTCCCCGCTAAGATGCGCGAGGGAGACCGCTGAAAGATTTGACGCTTTTTTCAAAACTCTGATCTAAAATATCAGATTACGCCGCTTCCCCTTGGTCGATCGAGGTCAAATAAAAAGTGTTATGATCTCTGAGATCCCCTCTTTGCGATGTGTGCCCAAAAACAGCTCCGCTTGACAAACAAAGTCACGTGATCAGGCCATTTCGGTGACGTGCCACCTAAAAATTTACTGCGCATGCCAATATAAAATGAAAAAAACCCTACAGCAAACTTTATGCAAACAAATCAGTGTGGACACTGTTCAAAGGCACACATATGCCTGCTCCAATAATAGTAGGAGTAAATCAGATTATTATTGAAATTNTGTGCCTGTTCCAATAATAGTAGGAGTAAATCAGATTATTATTGTAATTATTGATATATTGCAATTTTTCAACTTTTTTTTAATAATGGTATTAGCACTCCATCATTAAAACAGGTCATGAAAAGGTTAATTTATAAATATATTGATGAAATAACACATCACACACCAGAAAACAAATGAAATTAAGCAAAAAAAAAACAAAAAACTGTAATACATATTTTTACTTTTACGTGGTGTCGGTTAGAATCCATAGGGCCCAAAAATGGGCCCAACAGGAGCAACGTTAGTCCTAGTTAACAGGACCTCATTCCTCTTTTATATTTCATCATATTTTAGTTTGAAGTCTCAGTTTTTATTTCCTGTTAATACAAACTCGACTCTACAGAAGAGCGTCAGAAAAACTACACCAGAGGAAGATTTGGCGTCAGGTTTTCAGATTGTCCGTCCGTATGTCTTGTTCTTGTGAACAAGGAATTTCTTCAGATTTGGCACAAACGTCCACTTGGACTCAACAATGAACTGATTAGGATTTGGAGCTTGAAGGTCAAAGGTCAGTGTGACCTCACAAAACATGTTTTGGTCCATAACTGAAGAATTCATTCACTAATTCTGACCAAACTTGACACAAATGTCTGACGGGATAAAATACTGAAGGTCAAAAGGTCAAAGGTCAGCTTGACTGTGACATCATCATGTTTTAACGTCATATCTCAGGAACAGAAGGGGAGACATTTGGTCAGATACTGAATTGGTGACTCTAATCTTGAAACTGTGCTGATTGTATAGATCTTCTGTGTGTGAAGCATCCATGTTTTCACTGACATGGATGGAGACTGTCAGAGACACTGGTTGCTTAATCGCAGGAAAAAAAAGGAGCTACACTCAAAATAAATCCGAACTATATGACTGAACCATGTGGGACTTTAATTTGAAAGGACAGACACAGGAAGTGTCCACGCTCAGCAGTCAGACAGGAGTCAGGTATCGACAGATATCTTTCCCTTCTTCTGTAAATATTCAGTCTGATGAACATGTTGATCATGTTAGTGCAGGGCTACTCAGAGCTTTACATCTGTCCCACGGACGACAGGCCGACACACTTACACACAGCTGCTGGAGGAAGATGAGCTCAGTGCTCAGGGTTTCAGGTGAACAGGATATATGATGCTTGTTATATGAGCTCTGCTGAGTGCGACCGAGCGGCTAACTTCCTGTTTAGCGCTCCACTAACATGATGATAAAACAATTGAATCCATCGGCTCTTCCAAATGTTCTCAGACTGAATGGATCAAATCCTGACGGTGACACGAGTCATTTCTCAGGAGCTGGGCGACACGTGACGAACCCCAGAAACTGCAGTACCGCTATTTGGCCACTAGGAAAACTGTCTTCCTGGAGATCTGGGTGGAGCAGACGTCTCTGTTTGTCTGTAATCTTTAGTCCAAGCAGTGCTGCTGTTCTCATTTACATGCTCATGACACAGAGAAACACTGGGCATGTGCGAACTGACGATAAGATAAGATGCACTTCAGAGATTTGATCAGGACTCCAGAGCTGACACATGTAGCTGCTCACATGGTGAATCAATCATTCATAAATACAAGTCTAGGCCACATGTTGCACATGATGCATCACAGCCCTGACACATGATCTGCATGAGGTCGATATAAACACACAAACATACAGTAATCTTCACACACACACACACTGGCACACATCAATACACAACCACCATGTTCCTCACAACACTGCAGACACCTGTGGCTCAAACGCTTTGTTTTACATCCTCACAGACGCACAGTGAGTTTATAAAGACCCTCACCTCACAGGGCATTTTAACAAACGTCAGTTTATACACACATACACACACACACACACACACACACACACACACACAGAGGAAAAAACGCTTTATAATTATTCGTGAACAAAGGAAACGTGTCCGCAGGTCTCGTAGCTGATGTAGAAATGAAACTCCTCTCCAACACGTTTGATGTGAAGCAAAGAAGAAAAGCAGCTGCACTCACCTGACAGGTCTCAGCCCGTCGGCCATCTTTAACACAAACTGCTGCAAGAAAAAAGAGTTATTAATAAAGTTATTGATCATTGCTGACCCGACAGTTTGCAGGTCTCTAAATAACGTGTAATTATTATTTTAAAAAAGAAAACACAGTAACTTCATAAATAACTTTTGTCTTTGTTTTCTGTTTGTAACTGTGACCTGCAGTCAGCGCGCATCGACTGAAACTGTGACAGACGGACGTCATCATGTCGTGAGAAGGCTGGAAAATAATTTACAGTCATATTCAGAATAACGTTATGATCTGTAATATTCATATATTTCATTTATTTTATTGAACCTTTATTTTAAAAGTCAGTTAATTAATTAATGAATTAACTGTTTAACAGCCTGTCAAAGGCAGAATAACCGAAGCTGACTTCCTGTTCGTCGTCAACACGTTACATCAGAACCTTTAAATGACGTGTTTGTGATTTCAGTCTGATCAAAGCAGATTTGAATATTAATTTGAATCTGAACTTTGATTGTCAGCTCTCAGGAGTTTTAATCTTAAAGGACCTTGAAGGTGAAATTATTGTCTCATCTCTTCTGAACCTTAAAGCTCAATATTAAATTATTATTATTATTATAATTATATTCTTTGTTTTAAATTCACAATTTGAATTCTGACAACTTCATTTCGATCTTTCAAATTTCAGTTTTAATGTTGCCGTTAAACTTTTTGGATCCTATCTGATGAAGCTTTAATGTTTTGGGATGAACAGGAGCTCAGGGAGGTCAGTGATGAAGAGGAGGAGGACGATGCAGAGTTATGACTGCTGAGGCTGCAAAAATCACAGACCATGAATCATGTATTTATTTTTACGTACTGCTCCGCCCTCACGCCACGATCACACAGGAAGTGGTTTGCAGGTCACAAAACACGAAGCGCACCGCGCTGATTTTTTTTTTCATTGAATGCTGCTTGTATAAACACACTCGCTGCACCTTTTTATTGTTGCCAGGCAACCACCCAATCACCTCCTCACACTAACCTTCCTGTGTGATCAGTCTACTGTTTGTGTATCCTGCAGTAATCAGTGTGTAGCTGCTGCCATGTTGAGGCAGAGGGTGCTGTATGTAGCTCTGGTTGAGGGTGAGAGGCTGTCAGCAGATAAACAGAGATCTGTGTGGGTACATGAGACCCTAAAAAAGAGGCTGGATCATGGGGAGTACCACCAGTTGGTCCAGGAGCTTCTCCTCCATCATGGACGTTTACAGTACTGCACTTATCTGCTGTTTTCTATTCAGATGGTGCTAACTGTGCTTTGTAAAGTCGTATAGCTCTGGGTATCCAGCAACCACTACCACCAGTTTCTCCTCCATTGTTTACCAACTGTGAACTTGTTGTCATGACCACCACAGAAGCCCCGCCTCTCACATCATCCCATTGGACAATGGGGGAAAAGCAGAGATGACATGGGGCCTTTTCTGCTCTGAGAGTTTTTCCAACTCGAGGAGTTCAGGCGCCTAGAGCACAGAAACACGAGGCACAAAGTTTCATTCTCGTTAAAAACTGATACAAAAAGCTGCTGAATCACTTCCTGTGTGATCGGGCACAAAATCAAGCTGTACTACTTGGTCATAACTCTGCACCCTGAACTCTGACGCTTCTGTTTGTGTTTCTGTAGCATGAAATTTAAAGTAAAAATATCAAGTTGGTGATTTGGAAGATCTAAACGTGATGTGCAGATAAAACGCCACAGACGGAGGTCAGCCTGCTGCTCTACTCTGAAATATCTGTAGTTTGTTGTACCTGTGCTCACTGCAGGTTATAACACATGATATCCCTCTGTCATGGTTATTTTGTTCACTACTGTCAGTCATCTGTCTGCAGCTCAGTCATGTGACATCTCTTCAGCTGAGCAAAGGATTGTGGGTCAGAACAGACAGTAAAACACGCTGGCGTACAGACGGCACATTCAGCTCCTGCTGTTTGTAGCAAACTGCTTTCATGTGTCGGGACATGTTCGGCCTCTTTCTGGGTGCGAGGACACACACAGACTCCACACATAAAGTGAGTAACCTGCAGCGAGGTGACCTCCACCTGTGAGCCTGAACCACACTGAAGAAGAACTCTGACACAGGAAATTAGAAATCTTCATCACTGACGTGGAAACGAAACAAACGTGATGTTTGTGTCACTTTGTTCCCTTTAAACTCTGAAAGCCATAACACGTCCCCGCTGATCATCAGAGGACTGTAAATGTGTCCGCTGCTGCACAACGTTTCAAAACTCAGCTGCTGCTCCGTCAGGATGTTCTTCATCATCATCATCATCAGCAGCAGCAGCAGCAGCAGCAGGTGGTGTCGCCTCCTGCAGGAACACAAAGGAACAGCAGGTTGAAGTGACGCCACCTGCAGGACACCAGCGGCTCAGTTCCTCTTTATAAAGCTGCTGGTTTTTTTTGTTCGTTAAAAACTCGACTGTTTTGTTTCTGTGTCGTTTCACAGTTTGACATTTTATTTTGACGGTGTGTGTTTCCTCACTTACTTCCTGTTGCCGGCTCTCAAGTTAATCTTCAGTTTGATCCTGCAGCAGTTTCTCTGCTCGATGCACAAAACACTCAGACAGCAGAATCTATTTATACTGCATCAAATACTGTAACCTTAATATCTGCAATATCTCATGTTAACCTGTCGTCAGCTGCCTCTGTACTCGCTCTGTTTCAGGTCGGAGGTTCGTTTAAAGACGA